GTCTTAAGGCCTCACCATGTCTGCCCCTCACCCAAACCCTCAAATTGGCCCCTTCTGTGCCTCCCCAAATAGGAGTGGGCCATAGCCCTTGGTAACCACCTAGATACTCTGCTCAGCCCAGAGCCTTGAGAGTTTTCCTTACTGGGCAGGAGCCCAAGCGCTCTTCCCGCTATGGTTACCCACTAAAGGAGTGTCAGGTCCCAACTGTACTCAACACTGCAATGACCTGAATCCCCACTCCTTCCATCCTAGCTTGTCCTTCTGCCTTTGTGCTTTGAGATTTGCACAAAATCTGCCTTCAACAGTTGCCTCACTCTTGTCTCACTCCATCCTCCATGGCTGCAGCCTAGTTCCTTTGATGTGGTAGTCCCTGGAAGACTTGCAGCCTTTCTCACTGCCCTCCTCCAGCCTTTGACATCAACAGGAAAGAGCATGTGCCCTTCCTCCATAAACTTGAAGACCAGTAAAATTCAAATCCTGCCCTCTCCACTTCCAAAATCAGAAGTCTCAGAGATGGAATTGTAGACATCAGAAACTTGGAGGTGGGAATCTGATGTGTAAAACAGACAGACAGAAGAGCCTGTTTTGCTACCATTTATTTGCTGTGTGGTATGTATTCAAGGCATGAGTCAGGGCTAGTATACTACCCTCTGATCCCAGGAGAGAGGGAAAGCAAGGAGAACTCAAGAAGCTACCTCATCGTAGGGAAATTGTGGGAGAGCTGGCAGAGGCAGTGTGGGAGACCCAGGCATCCTGCTTTAACGCCTATCAAGTTCTTCTGTCCTTAGTCATAAGTGGCTCCCTATCCTCCCATCCTATGGTCCCAGGGACAGCAACAGGAGAAGAAAGGAAGATGACTTGGTTCTGGATGAAGGCATCTCTGCTCTGCATGGCTATTTGGCCCTGGCCGTGACTACAGGCTAAGTGGGTATAGGTGGCTAGACCAAGGGCTGTGGTATGGAGTGAATGCTCAGTAGGCATGATTGGCAACGTAGAGGGACTGAGCTGCTGCTCCACCATCTTCTCCACTGCCTTCATACTTGCCCTGGGCAGCAAGCCCATTTACCTACAAAAGAAGAAGTGAAGTAAGCAGGCTGAGCTAGGACACAGATGCCAAACCCTGCCCAGGCCGTAACCTCTGGGTAATGTCCCCCCACCACTATCTGTAACTCCCAACCTCAGCCCTCTTGATGAACTCCTCGGTAGCAGCCTCAGCATTGTCCCGTTGGCCTCGCCAGGCATTGAGTGCAGAGGCCTGCAGAGCACGCCCATAGGAGAAGGTGAGGGCCCAGGGCCGGGGCAGGGGGCAGCGGTTGATGGCATTGAGGTTGAGTGATGCCTCCTCTTCACTCTGACCCCCAGACAGGAAGGTTATTCCTGGAGTGGAGAAGATAAGGCAAATTGATTTGTCACCCCCTATTTTCCAGGCTAAGGAAGCCCTGGAGTCCACAAGAAGAGCCTGAGGATGAGCCTCGGGGATAATAGAAGATGACGGAACAGGGTAGTACCTGGGACAGCTGGGGGCACAGTGCGACGCAGGGCAGTGACAGTTGCCATGGCAATCTCCTCTGGGCTATACTTGATGGGACAGGCATGGCCAGGGGTCACCATGTTGGGCTTGAGGAGGGTCCCCTCCAGGTATACATGATGGTCACTCAGAGCCTTGTACACAGCAGCCAGGATCTGGGGATCAGAGGAGGTTTACTAAGGGTCTGGGCCCTTACTGCTCTATGCTTCCTGTCTAAGGGTAGGTGGGCAAGGACTGGGATGGCTCAGGGCTCACACTCATAGGCCTGTTCTGGATCAAGTGAAAGAATGCAAGGGAGAAGTGCTTAGGGATCTAAGTCAGGAGCCCTGGGGAACAGGCACCCCTGGTAGGCTTCCCTATGGCATGTGTCTGTGTCTAGGTGTGGACTCACCTTCTCTGTAACATACTGGCAACGTTTGAGGTCATGATCTCCATCAGGCAGGATCTCAGGTTCCACAATAGGCACAATGCCATTCTGTTGGCAAGAGCAGAGTAGCTTGCGAGGGGTAGTAGAGGAGATGGGAGAAAGCCTTACAACCCTCTCCCACCCATCTGACTGCCCTTAGGAGCACACATACCTGCTGGCAGATGCTGGCATAGCGGGCCAGCACATTGGCATTCTCCAGAATGGCAAGTGCTGAGGGCGTGCGCTCACTGATTTTTAGCACACAGCGCCACTTGGCAAAGTCAGCACCATCCTTTTTGTACTGGGCACAGCGTTCTGAGAGCCCATCCAGCCCTGTAAGCATAATACCAGCCTCATCTCCCTGCCCCCTTGCCAGCATCAACCACCTAACACCTCTATGGTCCTGAAGCCCACCCACCCAGTACCTTGCGTGGTGGTTTCTCCATCAGTCCCTGCTAGAGGCACTACACCTTTGTCAACCTGTGGAAGAAGCACAGGCTGAGCCCAGGCAGGCTTCCCCTTGTCACCCTTCCTACACAACCTATTTCCACACCCAGTCCCATTCAGGGCCAGGGGCTGCACCTTGATGCCCACAACAATGCCCTTATCCTGGATGGTACGGACAAAGGGAACACCGTTATCATCTTTCTGATAGAGTGTCTCATGGAAGAAGATGACACCTCCGATGCACTTCTTTACACGATCATCAGCACTGAACAGGACCTGGCGATACAGCCGGCGGTTCTCCTCCGTGTTCTCCACCCCAATTTGGCTTAACCGCTTGGCCATGCTGCCTGAAGGCAAACAAAGAAGGGCGGCAAGGCTGTCCTCTGGACTCTGTGGCCACCTGAACCCCTCCTGGCTACAGACTCACACTTACCTACAGACTCATCTGCAGCCAGAATGCCTTTGCCTGGGGCCACAATCCGGAGGGCTATGTCAGACAACTCCTTCTTCTGCTCAGCAGAAAGGGCTGGGTACGAATGAGGCATGGTGGCAGCTCTCTGGAATGGAGACAAAATATAAAAGCTGGACCTCACCCACTGCTTCCTCTGCTGCCTTGCCTGGCCAGATGGGCCAAATGGCCTCCCCCACCAAGCATGGGGCTGGGAACAGGGCAGCAGACCTTGGCATGAGTCCTGGGCATCAAAGTGGCACCAATCCCTCTGACAGCTAGCAGGCTTAGGGGCCCCAATTCTCACATCTCCTTTTGTCCCTGGTGGGCACCCTTCCCAGCCCCAGGAAAGATGCAGGGATGGGGCAGGGAGGTGAGCAGCCCTGGAGCTACAGGTCTTCTTATGAATCTGCTGCCCAGTTGAAGATGCCAACGCTTCTTTCACTGAAAGTGGTCCCTTATTAAGGGTGGCTTAAGCCCTGGCCTTTTCAGCTTTCCCCATTCTTATCCCCAACAATGCCCCTAGGGCAAATGTACTTACTTCCACGTCTTCAGAAAGGCAAAAATACTTACCACTTCCTTCTCTCTGCTTCTAGAGGAAAAGGTTGGGAGGAGGGGAATAGGTAGAAAACAGGAGTAGCACAAATACCAGTCACAGGCTTCCACAGCATAGCTGCTTTTCTGTAGTCCAAAACTTACTGCCTATGCCTATTGCCTATTCCCCACCCCAGGTCTAGAGGTTGGCCCCAATAGTGCTGCAAAGCGTTATAAGAAAGAAGGCTGGAAAGTCTGTTAAGGTAGTATGTGAAGGCTGGGGGAGGTGACACTGCCAGGTCATCTCCAGTGCTGGGAGCACTTTACCTGTGTAGGAAAGGGATGAGGATTAGGGAGCATTCAATTTCCCACAACTCAAACACCCAGAGTGGAGATGGGGCAGAGGTCTAAGATTGAAAGGAGTAAGGGAGAGACGCAAGAATGGGCAGGAGACTTGGGGGAGGTATTGATGATGCAAGCTAATCATTCAGGGGCATAGCCTCAGACCAGGAGCAGAGAAGGCAGGAGAACTGGGGAGGCTTGACCCTTAAGAAAAATCTAGGAGGTAGAGGAAGATTTAGGATTGGAAAAGCGGAGGTTTGTGGGAGAGCTAAGAGAAAGGGGTGGAGCAGGAGATGCCAAGCCATGGAGTTTTAAGTGGACAGAAAGGATCAACGATGTTAGGAAAAAGGTGTAGACACAACCAGAGGCCCCAAGGAGCACCACAAGAATGGCAGGGGAAGAGCCAAGGAGAGGAAGCAGAGATGCCAAGCAGCTCCCGCCTCAGCCAGGCCTTACCTGTGCACAGCCAGTTAGCGGATCCGGCTCTGGTCCACAACAGCCTGGCTACTCCAGCTCAGGCTCACTCTGTAAATGAGGCTGCGGATGCCGCAGAGCTACGTGACTCCTCCTGAGGGCGGAGCCAGCATCTCCCCGCCTCAGCCCCGCCCCTCCCCAGGACTGGTGTCAGACAAGGCCACGCCCACAGAGGCGGGGCGGTGAAAGTGGAGCGACTCCCCCGCCAGGACCTCAGGGGCCATTATGAGCTGTTCCCCTCCCACCTCAAGGAGCCCTGCCACCAGGGACCTAGAAGCAGGAAGTGCCTTTGTATTCCTTTCTTTCTTTTTTTTTTTTTTTGAGCCCAGATTTCACCACTTTACCTTGCGTTTATTTCTGCCACAAATCGCCTTTACCATGTTTTGGGCACTTGCTGGATGTTAGGGATTAAGCCTAGGTCTGGTGAAGAGAAGTCACTTAAACAGTCATAGCATGTTGGAGGGTGGGGTGGGGAGAAAGAGGCACCCACAAGGTACCCACGTTCAGGGCTGGGAGCAATGAATGGAGTTTCTCTGTCCTCAGCCCCATATTTACCAGGGCCTCCCCCTGAGGGGGATGGGGAAAGTTAAGAGAATGAAGCCTTTTCTGCTTCCCCCAGGCAGTGAGCCAGGGAACAAGCAGTCCAGTGCCCAGAGTTTTGGGTGAAGCCAGGGAAGGGAAGGGAGGAGGGGCAGGCAGCCTTGAATTTGAATGCAGCACAAGGTGGACCTGCAGGAGAGCACTTGGCAGGAGGGCCCAGCTTCTTCTTCCCTGACCTTCCACTCCCTCCCACCCAAAATATAAGACTCAGTGAGCTTGAAGAAAAAATTAAATATACTTTATTTAAATAGCATTAAACACAGCTGTATTCTAATTTGTCTTAGTATGAGAATAAGAGGATACTGCAGGTAAAAAGAGGTGAAGCAGATTCCAGCTTTCAGTTTTTTAGCTCAGAAATTCCAGCAATCCCTGTAGCTCCTTGCAACCCTTTACTACCTCTGGGATGGACAGCAGAGTCTGAGAAGAGAGGCACAAAGGGCAGCTCAGGACCACAGGCATAAGGACCAAGGCTCCCAGCCCCAGGAAGCAGCCACTGATTTAAAAGGGAGAAAATGGAAGCCACAGAGAAGGCTGTGATAGTGACACAGGTGAGAACCAGAGCTATGCCTCTATACCTCCTGGGGCCAGGCCTTATACCAGGTGCCTTAGTTGTATCAACTCCCTCCCTCCTTTACCTTATAAATATGCTGAATAATGTCATCTAGTTTTTTCAACTCCTTGTCTGAGCGCCGAAGGTTCTCCTCTAGGATGTTTCTCTAGAAAGCAATTAGGTTTTACAAGTGTTATGCTTACAAGAATAGCATTGGCTGGGTGCGGTGGCTTACGCCTGTAATCCCAGCACGCTGGGAGACGCAGTCAGGTGCATCACCTGAGCTCACAGGTTCGAGACCAGCTTGAACAAAAGTCCTCATCTCTAAAAATAGCCAGGTGTTGTGGTGGGCACCTATAGTTCCAGCTACTCGGGAGGGTGAGGCAAGAGAATAACTTGAGTCCAACAGTCTGAGGGTACTATAAGCTATAACGCCATGGAACTCTACCAAGGGTGACAAAGTGAGACTGTCTCAAAAAAAAAAAAAAGAATAGCATAGCTTGATAGGACAGGGGAAATGTGGCAGGGCACTTGCTACTGAAGGTACAAAATGGCCAAGAAACAATGAGGAAATTCTTACATGACTCTGGAATTTGACTGTGAGTTTTTCCTTCTCATTTTTCATTTCCAAGAACATCACCCTCAGCTTGTCCACCTATAGATATGTCCAGATCAATAGGTGAACAGCCTGGGGTCCCCTCCAGCTGCCCACCTCCTCTGTTAACTCCGAGTCACCTCCTGGGAGAGCCACACTTTCTCCTGGATCCAGTTAGTGGCCATGGGCTGACAGTTGGGGTCCAACTGGCTTGCCAGGGTCTCTTGGAGCACTTTAGTCTCTGTCTCTGCACGCCGAAGTGAGCGGGTAAGCTGGGTCACCTCCTCTCTGAGGCTCTGGGAATAAGAATGGAGAGGTATCCAATGACCCTCAAAGGTCCTCTCTATTCTACTTATCCCATGTGGTGAACAAAGGTAGACCAGGGTATCCATTTCTCATATTTTGGGTCCTGGCTGGCAGTAACACAGAAGGCAGAAGCCAGGAATCCTGATGAACTTACTATGAGCTCGCCACTCTTGTCTATCTGCTCTAGGATCTTCTCGTTCTGCTGCTGTATCACTTCCTGGAGCTCCTTTTCATTCTGTGAAGGAAAGGGAGGTGAGAAGACACTGAGGGAGAGCTGGATTCTTTGTAGCCCTTGCCAGAAGAGAGAGTGCCTGACCTATGCTCAGCCCTGGGGGGACTGGTTGATACCAATCCAATTAATTCTTCTTCCAGGGCCAAGTCAGGCAAGGTACACCACAGTGTTGGGAGAGTTATGCTACAATTCCTGAGTTCTCTCCTCAGTCTGCCTGGGAAGATAGGTCAGCCCATAGCTGATTCCCAAATATGTGAAATACGTGACCCCAGGAAGGGCAAAACTAGAGCAATAGTTGGAAAATCCCTACCACCCAGATTCCTGAAGAGACAGTGGCTCCCAGCGGACCAGTAGGGCTGCCCCAGTTCTTTATCGCCCCACTTAGAGGCCCCTCCTTCACCTTGTAGCGCACGCACAGGGCCTGGTTCAGCTTTTCTATGTCTGCTTCTTTTGCCTTCTGAGCTTCCTGATGCTGTTCTTCCTGGGCCTGAATTCTGTCCTGCAGATCACAGCTGGGGGAGGGGAGAATTCAGCATCATTTCTGTCCCCTCAGAGGCCAGCTGGGTTGTTAGCATAAGAGGCAGTCTCACTGTTCCTGGGTCACCAAGACTTACATTTTTTGCTGCAAAGTCCTGATGGCTTCTTCTTTAGACTCTTGCAGCAGGGAACAAAGGCTCTGAAGCTCAGGAATCATAGTACTCATCTTGTCTAGGCTCTTCTCTATGTCTGGGGTCTCTGAAAGAGAAAGCCCAAGATAGAGGTATAGCCCCTCAGTCCTGGAAGGAAGGAAAATGTACAGCCATCATTTCCACAATTCTTACTTATGTTCCCCACCCATAGAATTTGAACATCCAGAACATTACAGATCCCAAAAGGCCAAAATAAAATGAGCCCAAGTAGAATTGAGGTTTTTAGAGCAAAGCACTTCTCACTGCTTCTGTCTTCCCTCATCACCACCAGATTTTCTAGAAATGAGGCAGGATCCCTGGAGCCCATCCTAACCTGTAGGCTGATGGGAAACCATTGATGCTACTCGGGTGAAAGCACTCTTGTCACTTCCAAGCAAGGGCACAGGAGATGATTCTGGCTCTAAAATAAAAATCAACCATTGGAGAGGGCACCTGTGGTGACCCAGTCAGATGTCTGACATAATGGAAGCCAGGGAGAGGTGGGACTGAAGGTGGGTATCTTCAACAGGTGAAGCTATTCAGAGCAGGGTCACAACTTTCCCACCCCACATCCCAGGGCCTTTAACCTTCATCTGCCACTGCTGTCGAGATGCTTCCCAAGATGCTATCATTGGGCATAGGGTATTCCTGGGCAGGAGCACAGGCTGTGCTCACAAAGATCTCTGGTTCAGCCTAAGGGCAAAGGGTAAAATATTATCAGCTGCTGTTCAGGGTTAATGATTTCCTGAGGTCTCAGGTACTCCCACCAAGCCATCTCTTCTAAAATTTGATCCACCTATTACTTCACTTCTCAATCTTCAACTTTTCCATTAGTGCCTTTTCCTGGATGGGTTTATATTCTTAAGTCTTCTCTCACTAAAACAATATTTTAAACATATAACAAAAACAAAAACCCTAAGTCCCCTTTCAGCTACTGACTTTTCTCTTAAAAAAA